TGATCTCCTCTGCTGTGGGGATGGCAACGAGAGGGTGGCCCTGGATGCGTTAAGCGCATTCTGGACGCGGTTGGGTACTAAAACACCCCAGACGTCGCTACCCGAGGCACTTTCATCCAAAAACCGTTCTACTTACAACAACTTCATATACAACACCTAGTTTTATTTTGCTATTATAGGATGATAATACTTGAGTTACATCAGAAGTCATTCCGACTTTGTCTTACATCATCATCATCATTTAAAACTCTCAAGTAGAACCATTCTTTCTCTCTCATTTCTATTTCACCAACCTGTACATACAATAGATGTGCACAAGTAGGGTCTTCTGCCTAAGGCACTGAACATAAAATAAGCAAATGACAAATACTATTTTATCTCTTTATTTTTTTTTTCAGAATATTTTAATATTGAAGCCCAAGTTGTTATTTTCAAGGGAAAAGGAAGGGAAAAGGAAAGGGAGAAGAGAGAAGTTATGAAGACAAATCATTTTATTTATGATTTTGTGAATGGTCATTTCTGTAGGCAACAAAATGTTCTGTATTCTTAAAAAAAAATAAAACAAACAGCACCATTAAAGAAAGCATGATCCCTGAATTCTAAAAAAAACACTGTCTCAAAACCAAAACTTGTCAAAATTTCACCCAGTCCCATCTAGGTGGGTAACAACGCAAAGCATAACAGCATTGAACGGTAGCGATCCCGCTGAAATCACCTACTCCCCCTTCGGAAGATTCAGAGAACCATTTTCGGAGCTTGTCCTGTGGGAATAATATTTTCTTTGGTAGACGACTGAAGGAGGGTATTTACTTCACTGAATGTGGATGGAAAAAATACCTATGCATGGTCGGGATTTCCCCAGTAAATCTCTATTTCTCATGCATGTTAAGTATGAGTGGATTTCACATTGCTGTTATACTGCAGGAGTAATACTGCCCTATAAAGGCATAAGATGGCTAATGTTGAACAGATGTAAACATTCAGAATACTGACAAAAAAAATTACATACACACAAAAAAACCCTGTACTGGTAATGTGAATCGAGTTAAGTTTCTGTAAAGCAGAAAAAAATATTTTACAGCAGTATAAGAGAATTATGGCAACAAAGTAAAGCACTTTTCTTGTAACATTCATGAACAGTACAAATACAACAAAGTTATTCTACGGACTAAATTATCCTTTAACTATCAAATATAGTACAAAGCGAAATATTATGTGCTATAAAAGAAGCAGCTCCTTAAATTAGACTAAAAAATGCTTTTTTGTTGTTTTTTTCTGTTGGTTTTACAGTGACAGAGCATGACGACAAGAGGATTCCACAGACCCGGACACACTTGGCTCCGCAGGGCCACACGGGACCTCGGGGCGTGCGGATGGCGCCGGGCAGGGCTGCCGGCTCCGACGCTCCCTCGCGGCGACGCTTCCCATGGCGGCGCCGCTGTCCGTCCCGGTTCTTCGCCGCACGGAGGGGAAATGGCTAAACCAGAGGCCACAAGAGCTATTCCGGAGCTGTGTGTGTGCTCACAACGGGGCGGGGGGTGCAGCATCGGGTAATTTTACCTCAGAAATTGCGTTAAAAAGCACCATATGCATCGGTTTGTCAGCCGCAAGGAGCCGCAGGGCCCTGGTGCGCCGTCCGCGCGCTGCGGCCTGCCCTGACCACACGCACCGCCCTCACGCAGGCCCAGGACACTCAACACCCCTCTATGGCTCAACCTTGATCTTTGTCCTTTAAACAGTTCCTTATTTCACATACTAGACCTCAGCAGGTAAATAAAATGCAAACAGGGAGTATTCCGTTCACTATTCATGTGGGTTTTTTGTGTATTTTTTTTTTTAATTTTACATTATTTCAAAGGGAATTTTTGCTTGGAAGGTTAGTTCTGTATGGAAACACACAAAAACACTGCAAATGCCCTAACGTTCTCTGCATATCTCACAGGTACGCAGTTAAAGAAAAAAGAAAGAGGGAGGAAGGAAATAAGAGTGTTTCTCCCTCTCTCTCAAAAGTGCTGCTCCTGGGGTAGGAGTGGGGGAACAACTTTGGAGATTAAAAAGAAATGGAAAGGATGTAAATAACACACGCTGGACACGCACACACACACGAACAAAGAGCAGTGTGAGCTTAAGCCATTATTTCACCACTTTTCAGTGCATAAACTATTAACACCCAATGTTGCAAACTACATGGTCATTAGAAAACATAATGACATTGGGCTTGAAATTTGGACAGTTAAACAAACAAAAAGGAATTGCTCAAATTAACTTCTGAATGCGATTGTGTTCTCATTTAAGAGCACGGGTCACCTCTCTCCAAGCGTTTGTGTGATGTAAGAATCCAGGTAAGATTTCCAGTCGTACTTGGATTCAGTCCTAAACAAGGACAGAAGTCCTGAACAGGGCTCCTATATCATCACAGCTGCTTTTCAAAATTTTAATACCCTAAAACTATTAATCAGTAACAACACTTCACAACTGTCTCTAACTAATTGGTCAGATTTATTCCTGGTGCAACTTCGGTGACTCAAGAATGAAATCAATGGAAGTGCACTATGGAAGAGTTTGGTCAGTCGAATAATATAACATAGCACCATTCAGTCTAATGCCATTTAAAATAACATTTTATCATCACCTCACACATGCAAGTTGCAATCCTGATACAAAATGACAACATGACAGGAATGAAGTACCTACCACATTAGCCAAACCTTTATCCTTTGAACAAAGCAAAACGGTTCTGCGGCTGGAATTTATTTCTGCACTTTGTCAGTCAATACAAGAAGTATTTCAAGATGCAAGTACAAACAAATATTGGCTTATGTGCTGTGGACAGGAAAACCTGAGCTAGAAATAAGGATTCCCAGCTGGCTTGTAGAAACACAGGTTATTAGAATTGTAAGACTGGTTACTCTCTTTAAAGAAATAAATGTAACCTACCTATACCGAGTATAAATACAATACAATACAATTCCAATACAAAGGCTCCTCGAATATGAGTTTGATATGCATTAACTGGCTGTGCCCATGCTACCTGTGAGCGTTCTCCTTGGCCAGCGGCTGGCATGGCACTGGAGGCTGATTTTCAGACGGTTACTGTTAGGTTTTTGCTTGGCTGCCTTGTCGTTTTCCTACCAGAAAACCTGAAAGTGCTGAGAAGCTGTTTCACATTAAGGAGCACTTTTGTATAGAAAAAATATACTATTGTATTAGCAACAAATGGCCTTTGTATCACACAGTGTCAAAAATCATATTGATATGTTGCTTAGAACCTCGCTAATATGCACCAATGTCTGGGAGACCAATCACCCCTTATGAGCAGGTATGCAAACAAAGATCATATAAAAATGTATAGTGTAAAATGTAGCTTCTGTTTCTTAAACGTAGTCTTACCGTTCACATTAACATCTGAGAGGAGACAGTAAACGCAGCTTTACATACTTACTAAAACACTGACATCTAAGCAGTATGATGTCTCACATTCTTAGTACATCTTTCTCTGAGAACTCTGGAAGGTTTTTTAAGCAGACTGTAAGGTATTTGGATTAGTGAGGTTCTACTGTAATGGCAAAAATACCATTTCTCTTTGATGCTCATATTTGGGCAGATCCAACCACAAACTGGCAAATGGATGACTCGCACTCCACATTAAATGTTCTTGAACTGGGAGGAAAGAAAACGAAGGTATTTTCACCTCCCCAGCAACTGCATGTGCTTTATCCCTTTATAATATTTTCCTTTTAAGTGACTACTGGCCCAAAGTTATTGTTGTTCTTCTCTGATGTTATAGTGGCTAATGCATCTGGAATGCAGCTACAGACCTAAGTGTAAATACAGTACTGGATAAATACTGAAGATTACTTTAAAGATGCAGTATCCCTTTTAAAAATGCCTTTTTATGTCCAATTTCTGAAAAGTAAGGTAAGTGGCCTGTACTCCTTTAAGAAATAAAAAGGTAGTTACAAGTGATTTTCAGAATTACCTTAAATGACAAAACTCTGAAATATAATTTAAATAGAGAATAATTCACAGAAGAGCAAAAATAACTCAAAATCTAATGTTCAACTCAATACACAATTAGAATCTTTCCTTAACCATTCAACATAGCAATGTATCAATTTTAGGCCATGGAAAGAGTAAAACATCCAGAACCTGTTACATAAGTCTGACCCCATATTTAGGATTGGCAAACCAAGTGGATAGATTAGAGAGGCAAAAACAGATATAAAATATTTGAGTAGGAAACCGGAAAACAGGATTCTAATCTCCGGTGGAGAAGTTGCTTTCTGCAGTCTCGACCGAAGCCAGTCAGATTCCAGTGCTGGTCCCACCAACCCATCACGTTTACAAATCTTTTGCAAAGAGTCAACAAGAAGAGATGATGATTAAAATTTCAGTTCCATAATCCCTGGCAGGCACATGAGGGAATCTCTATCAATCTAACTTCCTTTTTTTGCTAGGTGAACTGGCTCTGTTTTAGCCGCACACAGTAAAAGTCGATCGAAGAAAACCAAAAAAAAAAATGCAAACCAACTTAGATGCTATCACGACCGATAACCCACACATTTCCACCCCACTCAAAATAAGAAGTCAGTATTCAGTGTGTTATTCATTCTGCATAGCTTTTTTCTGCATTTTTTGTCGAGTTAGTCTTCCATTGATCCTTAACCTGCGGCTTGTGTTAACCATCTAAAAAGTGGGGGAAAATGTGCTGCACTTTGTGCAAATAAATAGAAGCTGGGAATGACATGCATTAATAGCTGCTTTTTTTTTGTTGTTGTTTTGTTTTCTTTAACATAACAAGGGAGCTCATAGAAGCCTTAGGAGCAATGCTGTCGTTTCTTTTTAACTAGTTCTACATATTTCCTCTTCTTTCCAGGGAATGTCAATCAGGGAGGAATAACTAAATTCTGAAAGCACCGCAAGGAATAAAGTCAAAACCAAACCAAACCAAACCAAAAAACCAATCGACCAACTGAAAGCCATGATTAGCCACGGCCTAACCTGTCACAATTGCTCCGTTTCTGGGTCCTGCTCTCCCGTGCTGACACACAAGGGATACTGCATCTTTGATCCGGTTTCTACCGTACGACCAGGCAAGCTACACACAGTTTGGAAGGCCCTATGCAGTCATCGTGACAGAAGGCGCCGCAGCCTTTGCACACAATCATGGCTTTCAGCCTGCAGGAGCATTTCAATTCCAGTTCGTCCGCGTTGCTGCTGTCAGCGAATTTCTGCACGGGCATCGGGGCGCTCTGGCCGGGGAGGCCCGCGGCGGCGCTCGAGCCGCTTCCTAAGATCCCCATGGACTTCTCGATGGCAGACGCTGCCCGTTTGAAGCTCGTGCTACCAAAGTGTATCGTCGGGTAGTTTCCACAGAGCTGCTGCTGCTGTGGGTGCTGCGTCTGTATTTTCGGAGCAGCGAGTTGGGGGAAAGGCTTCTGTGGCTCGGACAGCAAATAGGAAGAGAAATCGGCATTTTTTAATGCAAACGCTTTCAACTGTTCCTTCACTTCGTTCTGATCATAGGAAGCTTGTTTCACCATGCCCAGTTCGCAGCTGCTGCTTAAACCTTCCTCAAAGGAAATGGGTTCAGATTTTATATTGCTACAGATGCTTGCTGGCTGAGGCCAACCAAGTCTTTTAGTGGTTTCCATGGTAACA